ATGCTACCAAAAAACAAGAACAAAGAACATTGGAAACACAAAAACCCGAAACGAATTGTTGTTGACGAACACCTCGCAAAACACAGGGTTTCGTGTTTTTTGCTAAAATACCTCCCAAACATAAACGACACACCCCGCGCGGCGGCAGACGCACGTGCTTCCTTGTTGTTGTTGTTGTCGGCAGCAGCAGTCGTCGACATCGTCGAAATAGCTGACAGTTGGACTATGCAACACCCGGGCAGGGACGACGGGCGGGGACCCAAAAGTGGATGCTTTGTAAAGTTTGCAAAACCGCTTCAAAAAGTCTTTCTGAACAAATATGTCCAGCATCTAGGCGCGGGCATGAATCGGCGGCAACATTGCGCACAGCCAAGGATGACATTCGGAATGGCTGAGGAGGGGACTACTTGGCTCTGCATTCGTCTAGTCAGGACGAACCTTGATGCAGGACTTTGCACAGCACAGGGGCAGGCAATGGGACGAGCTGTGGATGCAGCCGGAGGATGTACCTGTGCACAACGCACATGGTGCCTAGGTTCAACTGCGCGAACATCCTACTGCTCAGTCTGTGGAGCACTCGCCCGGCTCTTTCCCACACAGTTCTGTCTGACCTGCAGGCCTGAGCTTCGATTAGGTCCAGGACAGGCTCACTTCCGCAGCAATCTCACAGGTCAGCTATTTCCCAGGTTGCTAGCTGCGTTTTCCTTTCTTCATCGCCGTGCTGTATGAGCTGCGACAAGATGCAGTTGAACCTCTGGCGACTCTCCGTTCAGGTCGAACCACTGAGCTCTTACGGCCGACGATACCTGACTTCTCGAGGTTCCTGCACGGCAAGTATAGACCCGGGATCATCTGAGTAGATGCCCAAGACCTTGTCATGATGCATTCTTTTGACAGTCTGGGACATCTGCGCTTCACTTGAGAGCGCTGCTCTGTACCGTGTGTCTGGGAAGTAGTCGTTTCTGTTGCTGAAGACAAGCCTGGCGCCGGTTTCCTGCAGAGACTATTCGGCAGCCAGTGCGCGGTTGCATCCCGCCTATGCATGCCCTGATGGGAGACTCAAGCTGTCGCCGCCCTGCATGCACGTCAGGAGGCTTCGTCCTTCTGTATCTCATCTTTGGTCGAGCCGTGAGAGCCTGGTCGATCAATGCGCGAGAACAAGCACGCCCCTCTTCTGGCAGAGCTAAGCTTCGACGGGGGTGAAGCAGTCTTTTTTGGGATCTGTTGCAGCGCAAGGGGCAGCAGGAGCCAGAGTCTGATGACAGAGACAACTGCCATGGGCATGCTTGATAAGTCCCGCCTAACAAGCCGGCGGCCAAGCCATCGGTGACAAGAACCTGCCACGGTGCCGCAAGATGTCACCCGATCCTTTTGAGATCAACTTACAACGTTGCTCTGATCTAGGTGATCTTGGCGTCAGCCAGAAGCCAATGCAGTTCTTGAGAATGCATCGTGCTTTAGCTCGGAGCTCCTCACAAATCACTTCTGATGTTTCATCTTGAGGTTGCGTTCTGGGCGGCTTCAGGGAAGGGCCCGGAGGTGAAGGCCCAAACAATTCGGTGTGCCCTGCCTGTCTTGGATCCGCTACAACATCCAAAATTGTCTTAAGCGCACATACTGGTACAGACTGCTAGGAAGACGTGCATGTCGGAAGCTTCCGTTTTGGAGTAAACTGGGCACGGTCAACCATATTCAGCTCCACGGCTTTGAGACTCGCTGCGTGCCTTGAAGGCGTGCCTCGTTCGAGGGATGTTCCCCAGGCCCGATTCCGGGCGGCTGTGACCGCTGGCATTTAAACCTCGCGCAGTTCCTATTTGCAGCCGAACACCTCTGGAGCATGGTGCTGTTTACAGGAAGCAGTGGGGCGTCTCCACTCGGAGCACCAAGCTGGCATTAGCAAGAAACTTTCCATGAACCAAAGGTGCGCGTGCCGAGCCGGCTACGCTTTGACGGTGGCTCTCCGATTATCTGCGTTTCGCCGTCGCGCCCTCGGCTCGGCAGAGTTGACCGAGTGCAGTCGCAGCCGGAACTACAGCTCTGGGGCTTCAGCCATGGTTGCGCTTCATGCTGCATCAAGCTACGAGTATTTTGCGCATGTCATCATGCTGCTGCCGCTGTTGTTCTATTGCTGTGTCCAAGAGCTTTGATGACCAAATTTTCACCTGGTACGGTACATGTAGCGAGTGTGGTATGCCGCTTGAGATGCCTACTCCACGGCTACTGGCATGGAAGCCTGGGGTGAGCGGATGCAGTCGTTTCGAAGTTGACGAATCGAAATTCCCGCAGTCGCGTCAGCCCAAATCGCGCCCATAGCTGGGCATGAGTGAAATGAGTTTCACATGCGAGTGACACGAAATGTCGAAACCTATCGAAACACTGCTTGAAGGTGAAACGTCTGAGGCTGGCAGCTCTCATGTTCAGAGAGTCCAGGCTCTAAGGCTACTCTTCAGCAATACTTGTGCTTGATCATGTCCGGTACTGTACCAAAAAGTAAGTTCAGAGTCACACAATTAGCATTGTGACACGAATGACGATATCCTTCAAGCTTCTAGCGAGTCAAGAACCTTCTCTGCTCCCCTACGATCAACCAAAGAGGATCTCAAGAAGCTTCGAAGCGGCATGCCCTTCGGCAGTGCCCAAAGCAAGGAGCGCTCTCTTGCTGAAATAGACCGGAGATTGAGATTCATTGAGAGTCCCAATCATGTCCAGCTATGAATCCGAGGTCATTGGCGGAAGGTTCTTCTTGGTGACGGTGTAAACCATGTGCCTCGTCCTAGGCTGCGACGGCTGCGAACGCGGTCCTCTCATACTTCCTCATGGACTGCTGTCATTTGCCGAGGTTTTGAACAATTTTTAAACTCCCCCCTGCCCTGCTCTCGACTCCGGGGTTCGCACGCTGACGGACACAAGTTGACGAATGTGCACCGAATGGCTTTGGCAGCCTCTGCAGTCTGTTCTGGCACTTGAGCTTACATCTGCAAGTCCTTACCACTTTGTTCACAGGCCTGTTCTGCCAAATGCTTTCTCATGCTTTCGTAGTTCCCCTGTCTTTGCATCAACTCTTTGCCTTGGTTCGATGGATGAAACCGTCGTGGCAGCCGGGGTTTGCCGACCGTCATGCTTTGCGACATCCGAGGTCGACGCCGACATGGGTCTTCTTCAGGTCCAGAGCCATGCCTTTAGTAATCAGTATGAACAAGATGAACAAGGCTACGAACGGAGCCGACCAATTGGCGGTGTTCCGTGCATGTGTCTGCTTTTCTACACCTTTCAATATTCAGCCGAGAAACTTCGCATCTTGCTGGGAAGCTTGCTCATAAACACCTGACGGAGGTCATGCACAAACACTTCTCATGCAGGTTGCGGCATGAGAGACCCGACCTCGATACCATCATCGTTGATATCCTCGTTGCCGGCCAGGTTTAAGGAGAGGTCCTTCCATGGGCGGCTCAATCAGTTAGCAAGACTTTCAATCCAACCTATGACTTCTCCTTCTTGAAAGTCTTGCGCTGTTGAGACAAGGTAGATTCCAGGTAGATGCTGCTGACAGTGGCACTAGGTGGGGTGGCACGCTGCCTCCAGTTCTCTCGGAAGACCGGCAGCGAAGGTGATGATGTCTTGGTTGTTGAGCTCCGTTTCCCTGCGCCCGCAGCGGATGGGTGCGGGTGGATGAGGGAGCCTGAGAGCATCAGGCTCCGGGCCCTGCCTCAGGTCCAGCTTGAGCTCTTGAAGGCCCGATGGCAAACATGCCCGGAGCATCTTCAACTTCTCCGAGCAAACTGCAGGCCAGAATTCAGGTTCTGAGGGCTTTCATGGCTGATGCTTGATGTTCCTTGCTTGCGAGCAAAAGCATCTTGAAGATCACAGCCTTGCATGAAGGCCATGTCAAGCTCCAGGGACTTATGCCGAAGGCCGCTGTGCAAGGCTTTCACCTTTGCTTGCGTCTCATGGCATCTTTGCACCCTGCCCTTCTTGAATCAGCAGTCTGTGTTCCTCTGCCGAACTGTAAAGTTCCCAGCTGCTATCTGTACTGCAGGTTCAAATACATCCGTGAGGGAAAAGCTGAGAGCACGGCCAGCTTCCCTTGAACTCGATGAACGTCACTGTCGCTCACGTTGCCACCCATGACACGGCCTGTGCCAAAGGCCGGCTCCATCTCAGCCCAACATCCAGCCACTGAGCTGCTGAGCAGGCTGCGCCAAAATGCCAAAGCGAAGAGCGCCCGCAGTTGCTTAGAGACGTGGTCATATGCCTCATGCCTCGGCACCGCACGGCCCCTGGCGCAGATCTGGTGCAAAACCTCGTCTAGGGACCCCTGCTTTTCCGCAGCCTGCAGCATCTAACATTTCAGCACATGATCGGGCCACTGGTTGCCCGGGCCTGCTCGTTCAGGTCTCGGTGTGCGAAGATGTTCAATATCTGCTGCTTTTCCTGAAGATTGGTGATCTGAGCGCGCTCCACAGAGACCTCGGGCGGGTAGAGTCCCGTGCGGCTTTGTTGAGACACTGAGCATGTGTTGGACTCGACGCACGGGGCTTGGAAGCACACGCCTAGTGCCATCTCCATGATCTGCAAGCTGAATGACTTCTCGCGGTCATTCTTCGCCTTCCGGTCTTGACATAAGAATCTGCGGTGGCAGGAAGAGAGACGCCCGTCTGCCGAAGCAAGTTTGCCTTGTAGCCGGAGCCTGTTGTGCGCAGTTCTGCGTCTTTCTCCTCCGGAGTCAGGAACTGTGTTACCTTAGCTTGCCGAGCTGCGGGCATGGGACATTTCATGTCTATACATCCATAAATGTGAGCTTCTTGTGGCCTCCACTGGGGCCGGGGCCATCGAGGCTTTCTTGACGGGCGATTTGATCTCCAGCTTGGTCTGGACTACATCAAATTGCGTGCCGGGATGGTCCAAGCCTGAGCTTCGAATTTCGTGAACGTCACGGCTCTGCGATGTGCTGCGGTTCTCGGTGTCAGGCACATGCAGAGCTCGTACATGCACCTCGGAACGTCGAGACCAGTTCTGGCCTTGCCTCTCCCCTAAGCGAGTCTACGCTACGAAGCCAAGACAAGGCACCAGAGTCTCGACAGGCACGTGGCGAGCACGTTGGAATCGGTTTTTGGATCCTGCCCACAGCAAAGAGTGAAGCTGACGTTTCCCTGTCGAGTCTACTTTAGCAGGAGGCTGCTTCACATCGGCAGAGCTTTCGGAGAGAGGGTTGATGTCAAAGGGTCCTCACCTCGCACTCTTAGGCCCCAGCCACCATAAGCACCACCTGGAACTTTGCGGCACTCATTGCCTGGCTCGGGCTCATAGAGGCTTGGAGCTTGGGACACAACTCTCTTGCGGTCTTCCCACCACGATCGTCCCGACAAGAGCGGCCTTGTAAAAGCAGGTGGCCTTCAAATCCGGGCAGAAGGCGTCCTGCGGGCAGAATCAGAACGTGATGCGGACACCGACACCTGACTCCGAAGATGCCAAACCTCAAACATCATCCCACAACCCTTCCTTCCCCTAATAGCTCTCCTGCAGCGAGTGCGGGCGGTTGGCGCAACACGCGAGCCAGTACGGCGTGTTCTGGTCCATGTTTCTGCTTTGTGTGTGCACTTTGATGGCCTCCAAAGCATTCAGGACCTTGACAAGGGCATCATGTCAGCCGATGAACTGAACGACTACTGTAGGGTCTTTGTGTCTGACGAGATCTCCCCAGTAGTGCACCAGGTAGAACGCGGGAGGCTGCAAGGGAGGTCAGCTGGAAGAAGCAACACCAAAGGGACAGGGCAGCAGATGGCAGCCTGCTCCTGGTTTGTCAAGAGCTCTACCAGCGAGCAGTCCTTCTCCGCACATGCCGGACCTCAGTCTTGACAACTCCAAGTCTTTTTCGGTTTCTTAGGAACGCATGAAATCAGGGCATCCAAGGATGACACGCACGAGCCACTCATGCAAGTGACACCTGGCTCACGAAGTTGATAAGGAATCAGTAAGACGGAGAAGGGCTCCACAGTGGTCAAGGCAGTAAGGTTGGTAAGGCGAGCGCCAGTTCATATGGTCGATATGAACCTTACGGCCTGGCTGCATCACGTCTTTAGCAAGGTCTGCAGCACATGTTATCCGCTTTTCGTCACGAGGCCTGCCTGCATTGCGTGACATGTGTGATGGCTGCGTGTCTCGCCACCGGTGGCAATGATCCTCCGGCCATGATCGGAGATCCAGGCGCTCGGCTGCTCGCACCGCTTGCATGCGGCTGGACAGTAGGCGTTCCTTTTTGCAATTCGTGGCATGACCACTGTACAGTCGGCATTGAATCTGCATGTTCAAAAGCCGTAGTCAGAATGCTCCACAGTTGCGTGCTTTGTAAAACCTCGGATTCAGATACTGGATGCACACAGCTCCGAAAGGCGGTGGAGTGTGTAACTGAATTCGACTACGCTGCGCATGCTGCGCTTGGATGGTCTGAGGCTCCCAGGCCCCACTTAGCCAACCAGCCCTCGACACTCAAGCTGGCATGCTCGCGAGTGCTCTCACGGGCATTGTCGTAGTAGCGAGTATCCGCGCCGCCTGAGCGAACGTGAGCCAAGGTCAGCTCCGCGATCCACTGGCGCAGGGCATCGTCAGGATTTGGATCGACCATCAAAGCTCGGATGGACAAGAGGCACTTTTGGATCGACAGCGATGGACTCCAGGATTCCTTGAGGATCTCTAGGCCTTGGGAAGCTGCCGTCAAGAGCAGTAATTAGCCACTGCAGCACTTTCTCTAAACTCGAAACCAAGCCTCAACCTGCCTAGCAGTGAGCGTGCTCTTTCGGGGGCAAGATACATATTGCGCCGTTTGTATTCACATTGCAGTGGTAGATGGGCGTGCGGAAGTGAATCTTGGGCGCGGAGAAGGGATAGTCATCTGGGATGACAACATCCAGGGCGAAGACACCTCCCTCATACGGCGAGCCAAAGGGCCCTTCGATGAGGACACGCCAGAAGTTGAGGCTTTCCTGGTTGGCAGCTGAAAAACAGGGTTTGATACTTTTTCACCGTAGATAGTCTGTCTAAGACTCGTGACTAGGAGAGGCAGTGTAGTGTCTCTGATATTCTCTGATTAGTGCAAGGAGCGGTCGGTAGAATATGGATTCCAGCAGCGGCTGCTTCTGCGACTTGCCTCAACTCGGCCATGGCTCGTCTCGCAGCCCCCGAGCCCAAAGAACCGTGGGAAATGGCACCGAGGCCTGCCGAATCCATGGCCACCACCTTGCTTTTCGCATGTTGGTCTCGGGCCACATCCTGAACGCTGGGCACGGCACTTCCCTGCGTGATGCTCGCCTGCGAGATGTTCCTCAAGTCCACAGCCTCCCGCTGCTTGAATTCCGGCTTTTCTGCACCACCACGGCGTGCCTTCAAAGAGACGACCGCTTCGGACTCCAGAAGTTCGAAGCCCTCGCCAAGATTGCTCACCTGGTAGCACTCGCCTTCTGCGGCAGAGACGATACGCCGCAAATCGCCATCGGGATTGTTTCCCACGATGATCGCATCGACCACAGCACCGATGGAGTTGACGGCTTCAAGGGCAGCCTGTGGAGATGCGCCCGAATTGTTCTGCCCATCTGTTAGCACAAGAACACGCAGGTCAATCCTCGTATCCGCTTCGAAGTACCGATTCAACATCTGCGTGGCTTCGATGATGGATGAATATATAGCCGTCTGACCACGCTTCTTCATGTCGTCGACAATGGACTCGAACTTGTCCAAGCAGGGTGTTGCATCCAACAGGAGCTCAACTTTGTCATCGAACTGAAAAAGGCCGAGGTGGCAGCGCCCAGGGCCCATGCTTTCAATCCTATCGCGGAAAGCGTAAAACATGGCCTTAACAGCTTCCATGCGTGTGCGCTCAGCCACGGAATCTCGACACTCACCTTTCACGACGTTGAGAGTGACCTCCTTGAAGGGCGTTCCCATCGAACCAGAGCGATCAATGCAAATGGCGATGACCTCTTGCACCGGCACTTCCTCGGCTGGGCTCAGCACCTCCTGGTCCGCCTCCGGGCTTTCCTTGAAGTGGCTTCGCTCTGCCGCTCTTTCTCTCCCTCTCGCTCTCTCTCTGCATCCTCTCCTTCTCCCAAGCAGAAGTGGCGAGTTAAGGCTGCTGGGGGGAGATTGGATCATGAGTCGACGGGAGACAGACCTAGCAGACCTGGCACACGGGCGGACGATCAGATACACCGGTGCAAACGTGTTGCCCGAGGGCTAAAATCAACTTGGCACTGTCCAAATCCTCTGCCAACATCAGTCAAGCCTTAACCTGACCCCCCCACTGTGAGTACGCACCACGTTAAAAAGTATTCGGATATATTGGGATGGAGATAGCGGCTCCTCCAGACGACGGCCTGAACCCAACTCTCTTGTGTGCCGCTATGTTCGATCCTAAACTATCAGTTATGCAAAGTTATGTACGACAAACCGGGCACATCCATCACTGTTGCACAATCTCTTCCAGCTACAGCCTGCCAAAGGGTAATCAGCACTTCCCCCACCCTCCCCACGCAGTCAAACTCTTTCTTTCGCCAGGGCTAGGGACGCAGTCTCACTCTCGCCTCTCGCTTTCTTTCTTTCTTTCTTTCTGCCGGGCTTAGGGGTCGCTGCTGCGACCCTCAGGCCTTCGGCCCGCCCCCTCACCCACTGTTTTATTGAGTGAGCTCTCTCTCTCTCTCTACCTCTCTGCATCGCTGGTTCTACGTTACTGGGCAAGGCACTCGAGGCTCCACTGCAATGCTAGACAGCTCGTGCAGTGCCTGGCGAAACTTTTGTGCAGTCACCAACTTCATCCCGACGGATTCGATGATCTGCTCTACCATGGCTGCCTGGGCCAGGCGAGGCACTGGTCTGCTCTGGCTCTTCCGCTTCTGGTGCACTCTGACTCTGACTGCCAAGAGACATCCAGCAGCTTGAAGTCTTCCGGGGATTCTGCATCTGTGAGCTCGATAACCTTCTCAACGTATTTGCCGAGGCCTTTGGCATTCAGCCATCCTGCCGCTGACTGGTCCTCAGCGGCATCGTTGACTACCTCCCACTCTGCCATGGGCGAAGTTTCAAGCGAATTGAAGAGAAGGAGCTGCGCAGCGTGGTCTTTCTACTTTCCGAGCCACAGCATATCGCGGCACGAAGTGCTAGCCATGCAGGCTTCTGACGGCGGCCAGGAGTTCAGTATGCACAGCGCGCAGGCCCATGCCTTGCTAAAGTCAACTACCCTCTGCAACTGCTCCAAGGTGATGGCGCGATCCTGAGCATGCGGGGTGCCGAGACAAAGCGGCTTTACGCATCTCATCTCGTGTATCTCCTCGGATCGGTCGATGTAGCCCTGGAAAGTGAACTCCTGTCCGACAGAAGCTTTGAAGCGGTTCAAGGGGGCTTGGGGCCTTCGGCTCGTATCTCTCGGATCTCCTGCTTGAGTTGCTCCAAGTGCTTCTCATCGGAGGTACTGGTGAACGGCAGCTTTGCGAGTCGCTCCACCTCTTCACTCACCGTCGGATGCCGCCGTGCAGCCGTGATATGCCGTGATGCAGCAGGCCTCCCGTCGTTCCTCCTCTTCCTCTTTTATCTTCTCCTCCATGAGGATGGCCCTGCGAAGTGTTCAACAGAGAACTCTGCTCGCTTGATTCATCTCCCCAAAAAAGCCTGGCCTGTGGTCGGTGAAGAAGACCACGGTCACCGTCCTGCGGCTTCAAGGCAAGGAAGCGGCAGCCATCTCGGAGAGACTGCAGAGAGCCTCCACTGCCACATCGCATCCTGAAGCTTCTGCCACACCTCCGAGGCTTCGCCCGAGAAATCTGTGCTCCGGCAGATTAAATGACTCTGGGGGGCTGCGATAGCCTCGGCTCCGGTGTTCATGATGACACCATCGATCATGTAGATCCGCCACCCGATCTGCACCTTGAGGCGGCAAAGAACCGGTGCTTGTTGTTGTCGTTGTTGGGGGTGCTGTTGTTGTTGCGGTTGCGGCTGCTTGGCATTGATGGTTGAGTTGTTGGTGACGGATCTGGAGCTGCGGCGGCTGTTGCTGTAGTTTCTACTTTCAGCCCTTTTTTGCATCTTCTTCCAGTCCGTTAGATGGCAATATGTCGCTCATCCAGTCGCAGGTGCCTGTCTTGCTATTCTTCATACTCAGAAGAGTCATGACCGTTGTCACGCGAGCGCTTCGGAAATCAGACATCTGTGGGCGAAGTAGTTTGACATGTCAGGTGTGGGTTCCTTGACTAACGTCGTGGATGCCCCTGCAAGCAGACATGTTGCCACAGAGACCCCTGAAGAAATCACCACATTCGGTTCCTCTGCTTCAACGCCTCGCAAACGGACTTCCCACATTTACAAAGCTTCGCAGCCAATCCAACACATTGTGTTGCCATCTGTCTTACCGCGTTTGCGCGTTTGCATGAGCTGCGAAAAAAGACAAAGAGGTTTTTCAAGATCTCAGCTGAGACCCAGGCCCCAAGGTCCTTCGCCTGGCCCTTGGCGTTGGTGACAATCAGATTCTGCCACTGGAGACCGTGGCCTCCGTCGACTCAGGCATGGCATGGCCCGCTGTCTTCTAGACTGCCGGGGCCGGGCCTCCTTTTGCGAATCTGAACTCTAACTTCTGCAGTGTCTGGGGCTTGAGGCCAGCACCTTTGTCACAAAGCTAAGGCCGATACTCTCGGATAGATCGCATAGATGGCCACTGCAGCTGGGGTGCTGAGCTCCTTTCGAGGAGTCACTAGGCGGCCGGCGGACCTGCACAATGATTGCAGTTCTGCCAAAATGCTGCTGCCAAATTTCCAAACGGCTTTTCCGACTCTCGGACGCACGCCAACAAGCACAGTGCAAATATATCCCTGCCAGGCAGAAGCTTGTTTACTCAAAGACTGTGGCGGTGACTTGGTGGAACCTTCCGAGCTGGCTTCATGGATGCGGCTGGGTTTCGGGCCCCTAAACCCTAAACCCGAAATCCTAAACCCTAAACCCCACATCCTAAAACCCTATAGTGGGGATTCCATTTCCAGCCGCACGCCGGCGCTCGAGAGATTTCGTGCCACAGGCCGCAAGAAATCAATCTCTACTCTCCCGGCTTTTTGTTATAATATACTAGTATAGTTATACTATAGTGTATAACTATACGATAACAATAATATACTATAATACAGGACGACGTAGACTTTCGGGCGAAATCTGTGTTGTCTGTGACTTGCTGCTGTCGGGTAACAAAGCACTGCGGAGGTTGATGGGTAGAGACCTTTGCACATTTCAAACGATCATCCGGGACGGGCTCTGCTGACTGGAGCTTCGTATATACCGGGCTTGCATAGCCAGGATACCAGTTGCAGCGAGTAGCGGAAACGACTTTTGAGCCAACCGTGTGGATGCAAAGGTGCGTCAATCTTTGCAACTATAAGCTTGCGCAGCTACAAGACTGGAACACGTTCCACCTATGCTCCGTGCATTCGCTAGCATAGCCAGAGAAGACACCATTGTGCTTCAGCATACGGTTGCAAGTGGTGCAGTGCCTGCCTGAAGTTGCACCGAAACGAAACCGGCCGAAAAACGAGTTGTGAACGTGCTCACATGTTGAAGCAGAGGCTCTCGGCTGTATCTCCCATGCCCAAGACGGTAGGGGATCATTTCTTGAACATCCCTACCCCATGGTCTGTCTATTCAGATATTATTCTCGCCCATCCCGACAGACGAAACAGGTCTCGTTGGGCCTTGGTCTCGTCAAAATATTGAGACCATTCAGCGAGGCTGCCTTCGACTGGCTGGTTCCGACCCTGGGAGCGGACAATCTCCGGCACGCGCTTAGACTCCATGCAGCTCACTTACATGATGTTCGAGGCTGGGACAATGGGGGGTGGTTGCCTCCTAAGATCAACGAGGCTGCCGAACGGGAAGCACGCATCCTGAGGCGCCGCAACTGTCTCTGCTAAAACTTGCAACAAGCTGTTCTGTGCCAAGTCCTCGAAGTCTGCCGAGCTCTTTCAGTCCTCACCACCTTCGCTGAACAACGGCGTCACGGCGTGCTCACATGAAGGCGCAACTCTTGACCGAGTGCAGCGCATTGGGGGCAGCTTCCACAAACCCTGGACGTCCCTGTGAGACTCCCCTTTCGCAGCCCTGTAGCTGCAGTCTATTGCATTCGTTCGATGTCGAAGCAAGAAAACAACAGGAACTTGCGCAGACGGAAGAAAGCAAGCGCCGAGGCCCAAAACTAAGTTGCCTCTCTGCCACTTCATGATGCGCTCTTGCAGAAAAGGGTCCAGGGGAGAGCCTTGGCCTCACCCCTTTTTTGCCCGTCCAAAGCTTGTGGCCCTACCAGTCAGACAATGCAAAACGCCGATTCGTGAGACAATGCGCTTAAATATCCATGGTCCAAGCACGGAGTATAACTTCCGTCTCAGGCAAGACTGCCTCGAGGAGGTTTGCACTCGTGCTAAAAAAAGCTTGTGCGCTGCAAGAGTCTGTCGTCCAGCGTCAACGGCCGTACGGCCTTGATCGTCTGATTTCGTGCAGCGTCACAAGCCTGAACATTTACGTGATGCACTGCCGTGTCGCCCACAGAAACAATGCAACTCACAGGTTTAGGCTGTCGAAACAGCGATACCATCAGCACGACTAGAAGTAACAACAAACAACCAAGAGCATCCCAACACCTTCCCAGCAGATCTCTAGCTCTCAGATCATCAACTGGAGCAACACACAGCAGACTTAGCACCACCAGCCAGGCACCTGACTAACATCGATGTTGCGCTTCTGGTGTTTACGAGTGGGGCGGTCCAAATTTCCGCCGAATTAATCAAATTCGGTCTTCGCCGTGACCGGCACATGGATCGATGCGCCCAGCAGCAAAAGAATCACTGAGAAGCATGTGCTTCTTCCTGTGAGACGGGCTTAGAACGGTCTGATCGTGCATCTGAATTTCTTCGTTCTATGGTCAAAGCTGGCCAGCTGGGGTATAAGAATTACGGAGCAGCAAAGAGCTCCGGGTGCTCAGGAAAAGAAACATTTCGAAGGGTAGCCCACTGCACACTTACTTCAGCTGGCAGTCAGGCCTTGAGATCCGCGGAACGACCGGACCTGCCATTCGGGACTCAGACTGGCTATGCCAGGCTTTCACACGCTGCCTGGTCGGTAGCGACATATTCCCGGTCCCTCCGAGGGAGACGTCCGTGAAGGTTGGGTGGCTCCAGGCCCAATGCCTACCAAGGGCATGCGATCATGGGCGAAAGCACGGGGCCTGGTTTTGTCCCGCCTGAATCGTCAACAGGCGCTGCCTGCTTTGGTCGGATGTCTCACTGGAAGCGAGGGGTGTCGGCCGCTCTTGGGACGATCGGTGCAAGCGTGCCGCAACGGGATCCTTCAGCACACAGCGGCGCCTAGGTTTCAGAAGCACTCGACAGAACCCAGGCCTGGTGGTAAGCACTTCCCATTAAAGACTACAAGGAGCCTTCCGGGGGCTCTTGATTTGCTTGCACTACGAAATGACCGCGATAAATGCAACTCTGCTCGAACCATCCGGCTGCAAGAGGCTAAAGCGGCTCCGTCCCCCTCGGCTGCTGCTCCGCAATATCAGCTAGCAACGCCACAGATGCTTTCTTCGTCCAGCAATTGCATGCCTGTGCCATGCTGATGAATTAGCACTTACAGTGACTATGCCCGTCTCAGACATCCGGAGCAGGATGTAGTTGCAGACCGTTGGGGAAGGAGCGGACGTCAGCCGCATCTGCAGATCTCCTGAAGGAGCTGACTTTTCCTGAGTTCTTAACCCCCCTTGACGCCTCGTCTACTCGCTTGGCAATACTCTTTGTGTGCCATACACTTCTCTGTGAGCTTATTTCGAAGGCCCGAAATGTGTTGCCTCGACAGATGTTGCTCGGCAAGGACTGGAGGAGCAGTGTCCCCGGACCACGCCACGATGCGTTCCTCAAGCATGAGACATGCTTCATGTCGAGGCGTAACTGCCAAAAGCCAGTGGCTGTGTCCTGAGATCTCTTCTGCAGGTTTGCCAACACCTGCGATCCACTGACCCGGCACACAGATTGGCGACTGGGATTTGCTGAAGCCTCGATCCGATGCTATCGAATCCTATCCGAACCTCATGTCGCATGATGTCACAGGCAAGCGGTCCTCACGCTGGCAAATCATTCGAGCACGCAGCTCGGCATAAAACCCTGGCCAGGGCAGTCCACTTTGAACACAAACTCTTTGCTTCTCGAAAACAAAGAAAGAGCCGGAGCCTTCGGTGTTGAAGCGGCTGTCATCCGCATGTACTGTGAATAGGTGTGACATAGCTGCAGACACCGCTACATGTAAGGCACCTCCCTGATATGTTGACGAAGTACGATCCGCATGCCCTGGTCGTCCACGCAGGCTAAAGACGAGTCGAAATGCAAAGGCACCCATGAACATCCTCGCTTGCCCTTGAGCCATCAGCAAGTCACAGCTGGAAGAGAGGAGCCAAAACATTCCGCACAAGGAACTTTGACAATGCTGACAGGCTGGCGTCCTCCAGAACTCAACACCGTGAAATATGAAAGCGTCCGGCAGTGCTCTGTTGCTGGATGTGATGATTCAACGTCACGCCTTCCGCTCGTTGGCTTAGGACAGCTGGCCAGCAATGTAATGTGTTTGTCAAATCATTCCGATCTCTACTGCGGACTGTGACCGTTTGTTCCGTGCCTGGTCGTACATACCTGCCAGTGATCTCAAACGGATCCAAACTAATTACCAGTTCTTCCTGCCCCGCAGCTTGCCTGACGACATTTTCACAGAACCCAATGATCCTGACACACCGGCTTCACAGTTGACACCGGCACCAGGGACGACACAAACAGCGATGAACGACAGCATGAGGTTGCGAAATGCCGTAGCTTCTGCTTCTGCAACAAAACAAGAAAGGGCGATCTCTACAAACGCCAAGAGCTGTGTCTACTACCCATGTCGCAATGGAAATCGCATTGCCACAAATTTTCCGATTGCAACTCACAGCTGCTGACCTTCTCGTCCGCATCACCCGCAGGTGTGCCGTGCTTTTCAAATGTTTGTCACTGAAATGAATCCGTGTTGGGCACGTTGGTCAGCTTGAAGCTCGAGTCATATCGAGTCGTTCTGAGGAGACGCAGTCTCCACGACCGATGCCTTCCAGACTTGGCACAGTAGTTCTCTTTCTCCTGAAGGGTCGCAGGGCTGGAAATATGTGGTAGCACCCGGAAAAACATAGCAGTAGCAGTGTCGTGGCACATTTTCGCAAGGCAACCCAGAACCCAGCCTCCGGAGCCGCTCGGATAACTGTTCCAATTCCACCCACTCCATTTCTGCTCCTCTCTCGCCCATGTCCGCTGAGACCCTGAGCCTTGTTCTGTGGACCCCCTCCATGTCCAGGCGTCTTTTGCCCATCCATCACCTTCAGCAGCTTCGGTGCCCATTCGTTGGCAGAAAATGCCTGATCTGCCTGCTGAAAAGACCCAGCCCTTCTCGCCCTCAAGCCGCAGAAACAAGCCATCTGTCCCTGCGACGCGTTCCTCGACGACGGTGAAGCACTCACCTTCCCTGATGAAACCTGCGTTGTCTCGTCTTGCGTGGTGTGGTCCTTGCCGGATATCCGTACCGCCGGATCTCGTGCGCTTCCATCTTGTTGTACGGCATGGGCTGTGCCTCTGCTCTGCGACGCTGCTGTTTCCACCGCGATGCGGGCACGGCCTCTGTGCTTCCGTTGCTGCGCACTGTGCCACCATGCCGTACACCGCCTGGAGAGCTGCTCGCGCCAGGCTTCTCGAGCTGCAGTTCGGCTGCGGCTGCTTCTCCAGCTGCTTGAACTTAGGTGGTGCCTCTGACTGAGCAACTGGGGACTCGCGAGTCGCGTGACTCTCAGGAGTGTCTTCTTTCAACTCACGCACCTCCTTCTGGAGACTTTGAAAATCTAGTATCAGTTGCAGCGGGTCGAACGAACTGGCGGCTGAGTGTTCGATTTCGGCATCGCGCTTCGCTAAGGCTGAGACCACCGTGTCGCACAGAGAATCGAAGAGTTTACTCACGTCTTCGGCAGTCATGGCCTCGTGCAAATATCTTCGATTCGACATGATGGGTCCCAATGATGCTGGCAAAGGACAAGCCTTCAAGACACACCTATAACAGAAAGGTGCAACGAAACACCACGGAACAGCGCGTTGGCTGAAGCCTGAGAGACACTTTTCGCATTTTGTATGTGCCGGTGCAAACAGCTTGGCTTTGCAGGGCCAATCTGCGGTAAGATTGTGGCAATTTGCAAAGCATACGTTGACATACTTCTGGCATGAAGGTGCGGCTAGGTGATTGCTCTCCACAATGTCTGTAACTGCCCGTGTCGAACAGCACATTCGACTGAGAAGGGCTGGCTCAAACTAAGTAAGAGGGAAACGGGAAGTGTCAAATCCCTGTTGCGTTGGCGCCGTGCGGTCGGCAAGCATCTTCGCGAGTCGCGTGACTCTCACGAGCGTCTTCTTTCAACTCACGCACCTCCTTCTGGAGGATGTGAAATCCAGTATCAGTTGCAGCGAGTTGAACTGGCGGCTCTGGGGTAGTTTGACCTCGCTCGGCATCTTGGCGATCTCGCGGTTCTTCGCATGCACTTCTGCACGCAAGCTTTCGATTTCGTCAAAGTGCTTCGCCAAGGCTGAGACCACCGTGTCGCGCAGAGAATCGAAGAGTTTACTCACGTCTTCGGCAGTCATGGCCTCGGCATCCGCACCAAGGAAGGCAGGTTCGAGATGACCCGATGCGGCCGAAACTTGAACCCGGCTGAGGTCGCAGGGGCAGAGCTTCAGAACGGACAAGAATGCACCACGGTCGGGATTCTGAGCTTCTGCGAGTATCTTCAATTCGACATGATGGAACCCAATGATGCTTGCAAAGGACAAGCCTTCAAGACACACCTATAACAGAAAGGTGCAGCGAAACACCACGAAACAGCGCGTTGGCTGAAGCCTCAGAACCACTTTTCGCGATGTGTATGTGCCAGTGCAAACAGCTTGGCTTTGCAGGCCCAATCTGTGAAAGCTTGTGGCAATTGCAAAGCATACGTTGACATACTTCTGGCATAAGGTGCGGCTAGGTGATTGCTCTCCACAATGTCTGTAACTGCCCGCGTCGAACAGCACATTCGACTGAGAAGGGCTGGCTGAAACTAGCTATGAGTGAAACGGGAATTGTCAAGTGCACCTGGCATCTGCTGACGTGCTTCATTAAGTTGATGATCTTTCAGATGTGTCAGCAGGCCAGCCGACCCTGTGACGAGGTTGTTGCGAAGGCTTTGCCTTCTGTAATTATGTAGCCGCCGTGACAAAATGGCTTCTTTGCTTTTGCATGGTGGATACAACACTCCCGATATCTGAACTGAACCTAGCAACGAACAATCCCGAACACGACGGAGGGGAGTTCCTCAGCTCTGTTCATCCTATGTCGTCTTCATCCCACTCGCCTTCTGGCTCCGTCTCGCCATCCTCCTGCAGCTTACTTACGTCAGAGATGTACTGCCGACGGTGCTACCAGGGATGAAAGGTCCTTGTCGCTGTCCTCCTCATCTCCGTCCTCGAAGGCTGACTTGCGGGCAGATAGCTGTCAGAGCGGCCACGACGCGGCTCCTCGTCCTCCTCCATGCTTCCTGCTTCGTCTTCTTCGTCCTCGCAGAGACTCCAAGTCTCAGGGTTGAGGACAGAGCGACTTAGTGGCTTGGCCGACCTCCCCCTCTTCCTCGTCCGTCTCCTCTTCGTCCTGTGCAAAGACTGTGCACCAGAAAGCGCTTATCCTGTAGAGACGCAAAACTGCTGACATGCCTCCTCCTGCGCATTTGGGTTGGCACCTACGTGCATCGAAATTCGAAGGTTGGTGAAGATTGCTCAGAGCCGGCCTTGAGCAAGCGCTTCGCAAACGATGTCCAACTCTGGCTCGCGCTCTTCGGTGTGAGCCTGCGACAGCCAAGATCCGAATTCGGACTGTTCGTGCTGGATTCTGGAGGCCGCCTCTCGCAGTTCCATGAGGAGTCGACGAGTTGCTGCAGCAGCCTCAAGTCTCTTGAATTCCTCCTCGCCGAGGTGATCCTGACAACCCAACGGTGTGCACAAAAGCGGCTAGCTTTTTCATATAGATCGCGAGGGCCTGCAAGAGGCTGGTGATCTCCTCCTGCCACAGAGCTGTGGCATGTATCTTCAGTTCATCTAAATGACAAAGCAAGGAAGAGGCGACCTTGGCCGAGTGGTCACGGCACCGCTGCAAGGCAACGAGAACATCAACGTCGATTTCCTGACAGCTTGCTTCCCGGCAGCGGCTTTCCTACAAGTACCACATGTCCAGTGCGGTACATGACGGGGATACTGTCGTGGTATGTCGTGGTCACGCCTCATCGTGCGAGGCATTTCGCACAATGGCCTCTGCTGCCGAAACAGCGCCAATCTGCACCCACATCCAGAGAGGGCACCGGAGTCGCTTGTCCTGTCTCAGTTCACCGTGACGGCTGGAGGCTCGGAGAAAGGCTCTGAGGCCTTTCCGATCAAAGGCTGCAGCACATCTTCGAGTGCGTGCCGGACCTAACATTCTGCTGGGAACCTCAGACCTCTGCTCACAGCGAGGAGCAGTCCAAGCCTTACTGCTCGAGATCGTCTTGAGCTCGTCAAGGCAGTCCGAAGAGACTTTGGCCCCGTGCTGGCCTTGTACGACTTCTACAGTCTCTTCCACACGCGCCGCGCGATGACATCCCAGCTAGTCAGTGTTAGGAGAGTAATTGGTCAATATTCAGAACCCAAAACCGTGGGGACTAGGGTTTGGGGTTTAGGGTGTGGCTTAGGGTTTAGGCCCTTAGGTGTCTAGGCTCACACCCCAACTTCCAAGACCCCATCTCACAGGCCCGGAACCGCTATAGGTCGTCCATCCTAAATTCTAAACCAGGCCTGACACTGGAAACCTGTCCCCTAAAGCCTAACATGACACCTCAGGCACTGAAAGTCACACAGAAAACCCTAAACCCTAAACCATAAACCCTAAACCAAAAATAAACCACAGCACGGCCCTTTTCAGGCGCTGGCTTGGAAACGGTCCATGCCCTCATGGCAACGGCTCGATAGTCGAGGGTGCTTCTGTACATAAGGGATCATCTTCTGCACATAAGGGACCATCTTCTTGTGTGTCTACACTGTACGTAAGATTTGTCAGCCAAGTCTGGAGAGGCCAAACAGCAAAGTGCAGCTCCGCGTTTTGCACGCGCTGCCGCGCTGGCGAGTCGCGACCCTGAAACGTATCCCGATGGCCGAGCGTTAGAGCTTCGGGTTTAGGGGAGGGAAATCTACCTACGGTTCAAGGTTCAGGGTCTGCGAGCTGCTGCAATCATGGCTACAGGACTTATTGA